TCTTTTTTTTTTTGCGGACTGTACATTGTGTAGTCCGTGGAGATCGAGATTCAGACAGAAAGTAAAGGTTTATTAACAAAGAGAAGACAAATACATACAAATTTAAAAAGAACGCCATCTGGCGGTATTAAAAAGAAAAAAACTTTATAGCAATTCTCTCTTGGGATGGACAACAATCTCCCCCTGAGAGAAGGATTTTACTTTTAAATACAAATAACAATATACATAAAAAATATTAATTCTCTTAATTAAAATTTCAAATTAAACTTATTTTTTCCAAAGAGAAAATTAACTTCTCAAAAGTTACAGCTTTAGTTAAAAAATACGAAATATTATCATTAGTATTGTTATAAACAGTTTTTAATATTTTATCTTTAATCATACGAGTATCTCGCACAAAAGGAAATTTAAGATTTACATGCCTGGTTTTGTAAGAAGATTTACCATTATTCAACCAGTCAATAGCAGCTTAGCTATCAGAAAATATAGTAACAGGAGCATTAATACATTTTTATAGTTCATTTCATTTAACATATTTAATAACCAAGTAAGTTTTCGAGCTGTGTCAGCTGCAGCAAATAACTCCGCTGCACATGTTGATAGTTTAACACATCTTTGTTTTCTACTTTTCCATGTTATAAGAAAAGTACCTATCATAATTACAGAACCTGAAAAAGATTTTCCTCCTTCTGCGCTGCCCCAACTTGCTAATTCTTTACTATAAAACATGACCCTATCTTTTGGACAGTTTAAATATTTCAAAACTCTTTTAGCCAAGACATAATGCCTTTTTTCGGGACGTTTATTAAATTGTGATAAATAACTAGTTACAAAAGCAATATCTGGTCGGGTTCTATTTGATACATATGAAAGTTCACCGATGATTTCCTGATAATCTAAATCACCAGTAGGATTAAAACATCCATCTTCACCTTTAGTTATGGGAGTATTTGTTTTGATGTGATCCACGTGATCTTGCAATATAGTCTGAAACATTTTCTTTCATTTCAAGATTTTTTACCTTGTTACTTGCATCGATTTTGCAATCTTCGGTTTTACTAGTAAATGTGCTTTGAATTTTTTTCCCATAGAATTTTTGCATTGTTGGCGAACTGAAGACTTTGGTCCTCAGAAAGTTGAATGTACGCTACAGCGTCATCATTGTTTAGTGTCCCGCCATTTTGGATCAACGGGGGCCTCTTCAGTAAGGACACTTTTCTTGAGTGTTAGCAAAGCCTTAACTTTAATATACCACTGATAGAAGTTGTCACTGTTACACAGTGGAATACTCGGCAGATCCCTATTCATTGTGGAATCTCAAGATGTAAATCACGACGAAACTTAGTGAAAATTTTTACTGCGCCCTAATTCTCAGAACCACGCTCTGCTACCAACTGTAGTCCGTGGAGATCGAGACTCAAACAGAAAGTAAAGGTTTATTAACAAAGAGCAAACAAATACATACAAATTTGAAAAGAACGCCATCTGGCGGTATTAAAAAGAAAAAGACTTCCTAGCAATCCTTCCCTGGGAATAACAGCACATTGCTTACTTAAACATAACACGTACAAATTGTTCGCTTAGTATATATTGGTCACTTAAACATACAAAAAAATTTTTTGCAACAGCGAAAAGCTAGTAATATTTAACCTCTTACAAACATATTTTTTCTAAATCTAATATAAGCATTTTGAACAGTATCTTATTATTTGTCATACTTTTTATATTAAGTAGTATAAAGGAATAATAATAGGGCTCTATGGCAGAAAAAAAAGTTAAAAAGGACAAAATATGTTCTATTAGGAATACGAATTTTGATCCTTGCTAAAAATTTTAGAACTTAAGTTATTAAAATGATCATATATTATACTGCAATGTTTAATAAAAGATATTTGAACTACGTTATGAATTCTTGTTTTAGTACTACTTTTATGTACGCTTTTAGAATGTTTACAGATATAGCAGAAACAATAAAATAAATTTCTGAGGATGGGAAAAATGTTTCCCTTTAGAAAACAGGGGGGAATTTTTTTTTTATATAGAGGGTAAAAACCATGGTAATTACCGTGCCAAACCTGTTTGGTGTGCGTTTATTACCCCGTTTTACGAGGATTTTTTTTCTGTTCTTGCCAACATTGACGATAAGTCTAATGCCAGTGTAGGTTTTCGATTTTACTTGTGCAGGCAGATAAGTCGATTGTGATAATCGAGAAAGTGAGACTAGAGCGAATCACTAGCGAAAAATCGTAATAAGTATTGGTTTAAGTTCAATGGTATAACCGCACGGAAAGTGACGCATCGTGGGTGTCTCAATCTGCTTGGTCAATGAAATGAGGCATTTGCTTATGTTTGCAACTGTCCTTTCCATTTTATTTCGAGTAAGCCATGCCGTCGAGTATTGATTTTCTCAGGTGACACATTCTATATCCTTTCACAAAGAGTTCATTTCTTTTTCTACGTATTTCTTACTTAATACAATAACAGACACAAAGCCATGTACAACATAAACAGAATAATTTTGCATCAAAGTAACAATGCAATATATTATGCTTACAATACAATAGATAAACATATAATAACTCAAAGTTGAGTGAAAGAAGTAAACTAGAAAGAAATATATTTCAACAAATTCGATGTGTAATACGACGTTCTATTTAATTAACTTCATGTTAATTAACATTCTTAACAGGTGAAGAAGCTAAATTTTAACGCACCATTTTGCTTATAAATTAGCTGTCAATGACGTCTCAGACCACATGTTTCGGTACCTGTTATCATCTTCATGAAGTGTAAGTATCTAATTGCCAGATATAAATTTTCTTATGTTATATCGGCAGGCCATATATGCCTCGCAGAGTTAAAATAATATGTGGTAATCAAGAATAAACTTTTTGTATTATTCTAGTAATGGAGTGAGAGAATATTTTTGCTTAGAGTGGATAATTAACTTTTACATTTTAGAGAAACTTCTCCCCCTCTGACGCATGCAACCCGTTCGACAACTAAAGCATGATGTAGCAACGTGTTAGACCAATCAAAAATTTGTAGTAGGCTGCCTGCCCTCTTTTTGCTAGCAGTCCAAAGCGAGAGCTGTACGTGAACAGGTCGTGAGCGGTGGATCCATCGCCGATTTTAGAGGCCGCCGAAATGTAAATTACTTTAATTTATTTTTTTAAATTCTTCTTTAATAAATGCCTAGGTAATTCAACATTTTAATGAATAATAATGTTTTTCTAAATTTGATCTAACAAGTAACACGATAATTATTTAGTTTTTTTTTCCCTCCACGTGCACATTTTTCCCCACGTGCACATATTTTTTTAACTCACTCCACTCCAGGTATTATTAAATTATTTTTGCCTTATATATCTTTTGTATAATCATGTGTATCTTAATTTACCTACTGATTTTACTTTGAAAAAGTAAATGATTAATGTAACATAAAGAAGTAGTGTTGAAAACCAACTCGGGGTATATTTTAATTGTAGCATTGATGATTTTATATTGATTCTTAAAATGATTTATGATTACTAATTTTATTTTTCTTAACATGCTCCGAATCTGGTTCTCAAATGATATTTTATTCAAATTAACTTTAGTAAATTAACTTTTAAACGATAAGTAATTGTTAATTGCATAAAATTTAATTTAGCAAAAATGTATTTTTCTCAAGAGCTTAAAATAAAATTTATTTTTACGCAACGCAATTTAAGTATGATATAATAATTTACAAAATTTAAGATTTAATAATGCTTTTTAATGATAATGTTAGATTTAATAATGTTGAACAGCTGACTCAATTTTGTGTTTACGACTACTAATGTTCAACTCAGTAGCCTTTGTAATTTTGAATCAATCCAGAAGACAAGGAAACTCCTGGATCAGTACCCCCAGAGGTTTAATTTGTTTTGGGAACATGGAGGACTTTGTGACTCGACAGATTTAACGTACAACGGTCACAATTTACTGCACGGGGAGTCTTCGGCTGGCAGGGTTCGAACCGACGAACTCTTGGACATAGGTCCAGTGCCTTACCAACCAGACTAACCTTGCCTTCCCTACACTTTTATTAACACAATTCTCTTGATTAATTGGAACAGAGAAAAAATACTTTGTCTAAAATGCATTTAAAGATTATTAGTTAAATTGTTTCTGCGCCAATTCATCAAGTATAATTTGTCATAATGTAATTCAAGGTAGGCGTAAATTTTAGTTGCCGCAATTTTACGTATCATTCGGGATAATCTGGTTGATCGAGAGTTTACTTTACAAATTAATAAGGTAAGGCTATAAAGTCTTGTAATTTCTACATAGTGTTTGCTTACTAATAAATCTTTTTTCTATTTAGAAAACTAGTGTATACTTGGTTTAGTGAAAAAGTTGTGTGGAAAATTTATCTGAAATTATATACGATGTATCGTCAGGCCATTCTGCAAATTCTCCCTAAATGGCATTTTTGGAACAACAGAGTAAGTAGATTTCTACTGTTAAGTAATTTAGGATCTTTGTACTAGTAAACCTAGTAACGATAATGAATCTGCTCAAGATGGACCTAACTTAAGCACATAAAAGGGAGGGGAAAAAAATTCCCGGCCCATCTCGATGTATGAGAAATGGAATTCAACGTAAAGGTGGTCTATCAACGCCTTCTATAACTGAAAGCCTCCACAAGGTTTTTTGTAGGTAGTCTGATCAGACCACTATGAAAGCAAACCAAGTAGAGAAAGAACAATTTAATATGAAATCTAATAAAAATTAGAAAGTGGTAGCAAATATATGTCAAATTTTTTTTTTTTCATTTATNCCTTTCCTTCTCACTGTTAACTGATAAAGACGATTCTCCCTCAACATAACACACATAGTCATTTGATACCCAAAAATAGCCGCCTTAGTTTAGGATACGGGAAAATGGTTAGCATTTTTAACTTATCTTTATCGTATTTATGGCCCTGGGCTCTTTTGTCCTCTTTTTTAAAATGTCAAATATCAACAGACCCCTACCTATTCATAAATTGTCTCAAACAGGCAATTATCTAGAATTTCTAGGGGGGATTTCAGTAGGGGGAGATTCTTGTAGACATTTTCCATTTTTTGGGGGGTTTTTTTGGTGGTTTTGTTAAGAAAATTTCTCTGAAATAGAATCATTCTAAATCTTCTCTTACGTATAAGCGCTCACAGTGTTATTCCATCATTATTTAAGCTAGACATTTCCAGTCAGTTCGAAATTTTGATAAATATAAGTAGTAATTCTGTTTACTTTTATATTTTGTTTTAATTGTTTTAACTTAAATTATTAGTTGTTATTTTTTTAAATAAAGTTTATTTAAAGTTTTTTTAATAATGTTTATCGTTGAATAATAAGAAGTCATTAAATAAATTCTGGGGAGGTAAGCAAATGTTTGCATTAAATCACTTACTAATACATTTATTATTATATGTTTGCAAGAATTGTTTTATAGTTTGTATATTAAATTTATTTATACAGTACATCATTTCATGGTTTTACTGTTCATTGCGCATGAATTTATTTTGAACGCACGGAGCTACTTTTTATTTATATTTGTAAAATCAATGTAACTTTTTAATTTTTGAAATTATAAATCGAAACTTAGAATTTTAATGACCTTTCTATAACTTTGTTTTCATTCAGAAATTTAATGTCACGTTTATGTTTATAAGGACATTTATGAAATTAATAAAAATTTTTAATTAAACAAAATTATATAAACATTGATTATTTATGTTCAAATATAAATAATTATCACTAACTTGCATTTAAACTAATTAAAACAATGAAGAATTACTTTAAATGCAAAAGTTTCCTAAAAAAATTCATATAATTTTATTACGGTAAAAAAAAACTAATAAAAATATTTTTTTTAAGAATGGGACAAAATGTTAAACTCAATTTATTGTATGAGTTTTAATGATTACTTCATATAATTTTATTTATTTTGTTTTATCAAAATAATATGGGATTTTTAAAGTAATTATTTTGTGCTAATCAACATTTTCATAATTTGGTATTTTCAACAAATATTTTTTCTGAATTAAAAGTATTAATTTTTAAAATTTTAATACTGAAACTATAAATACTGCCGATAGAGGAAGGAAAATAAGAGTTCTATGTGTTGTCTTTTTTATTTTTTCGTGTACATTTATATCAAGTTTTTATGGTTACCAAAATAAATCATGCGATCCAAGAAAACCAAAAATATCTCATCTTGTCTGTTTCTTTGCTTGAAAATAACAAGGAGATAAATACATTAAATAAAATGGGCATAAAAATTTTTCCCATCACAATTATTATAATTTACCATTTCTTCAAAATATGAATACTATAGTTCTGTCAATTAACTGAATAAAATTTTATTTTCCTTTCTAAAGACAACAATTTCGATTTTTAAAACGTTTTGAACCGGAACAAGATGAGAAAATGGCTAAACTTAAAACTGCTTTAATATTCTAGAATTTATCAAATTTTTTTTTTCTTCTTTTTTTTTCTTACATTTTTTTTAAAAAACATTCGACTACAATTTAAAATGTTAAAATATGCCCCCCAAAATTTATCTCATTCATGATTGTTTTATCACGTAGGATTACATGGCATAATATTATGCATTTATAAATTTCATGTCATTCTCATAAAAAACTTTAACAGACAAAATGTTCTTTTCAAAATAAAACTATATTTTTAAGACACTGTGCATATTGGATTTAAGTAACTTTACTTTTACCTCAATGTATTATTTAAAGAAATTATGCTTATTTTTCAATTGAGACTTTTGAAAAAGGAACATACGTGATACATAAAAATGATATGTCACACATGATTACTTCATATATTTTTAATACTTTATATGTTTTAATTTTTACATATTTTTAATTTTTTTAATTATTTAATATATAGTATTGTAATAAATAATGTATCAATCAAATGTCTCTCAGGGGCTAAATCTTTTAATTAGTTAAAAATATCAAAAAAGTTTAAAGTATTATCAATTTATAAAGTTTTAGTCGTTTCTATGATACAATTTATTTTTTAATCATAGAATAAATTTGCAGTATTTCATACATTATATAGTAATCAAACACAGAATACAAAAATATGAAAGGTTCAAAAGTTAAAAATAAAATTGATGAAATTTTGTTTTTAAATAATGCTTTTTTATAAAAAATGCATTAGAAAAAGAAGAAATAATCATTTAATAAAAAAATGGAAAGTAAAAATAGAAATTATCAATAAATAAAATATTTATTTGTCGAAATGTTGTTATCATGCACTATTCTGCAGTTTCTGCCTATATAGCAAAAATTTAACTTACTGAACTCTGTTCTTTTTTTTATCTTTAGTATGCTACTATAATTGAAATAAATAGTATTTTTATTAAAAAAACATTTAGCTATTTTAGACTAACAAGCCCAGCTCTCAAGGCAGTTTTTGAGGACAAATATATTTCCTCGCCTGAAGTAAATTACAAACTTATGACTCACCACAACTCAATTTTTAATTGATATTAATGTAATAATTGTATTTACTGCTTATTCTACTGATTCCCATTTTGAATCACACCTTCACATTGCACAGTTACATCTGCATCATCCGGTAAAACTCCCCAGTTTAAATTTTTTATTCATTTACAAGCCGAATACCAGTTCAGCGCATGGGGTAGAAAATAGGAAAATAAATAATTAATAAATCGATGTTAATCAACATGCACAAGCGTGTACCAAAGCAATTAATAAAGTTAAAATAATTAAAAAAAATTATTTATTATTATTTGTTGCTCTTTCCAAGAAATTTCCGTTAGATCAATGTGCTAACCTAATGTTTGAATAAAATTCAAATTTTGTATAATTTTAATTTTTGCATAATTATAATTTGAATAAAAACTTAAAGACCAGTGAAAAAAAATTTAAAAATAAAAGGGATTTAAATATTATTTTATAATTAATTTTAAAATTGTTAAGAGGTAACGCAACAAACAGGATTTCTAATTTTGTAATTATCTGAAAAAAGTGGTACGGCACAAAATTAGGGTTTCAATTGAAGTCAACATGAAAAAAATAATATTTAAAAAATATAAAAATTGAGAAGCCTGTGTAAGAGTCTTTTTTTTTTCGAATTACTTCTACTATTCTAGTTTTCATAGAAGAAACTAGTTTCTAACAAAGTTAGGTATATGTTTTATATTATTGTCTTTGATCTTGAACTACCTATCATTATCATCGCAATAGCACGAATATTTATTGAAGAAAAAGCTTCGATCGGTTCTTTTCATGATCAGTTAATCTCTTTACCTTTGCCACCAAAACTTCTAAAAAACGCAATAAAAAATACATAGCAAGAATTCATGGCAAATTTGCAAATAGAAGTGTTTTTCAATCGTCGTAGTAGCCATAGTATTTTTTAATTATATTTATTTCTAAAAATTACTGGTAGCCTTTAAGTTTTTACTCAGGCTAAAATACTAATTTTGATCTTAAAAATTTTTTCTACATAATTTTACATAATTGCAAATCTTGTTTGTAGCGTTATTTCTTAATAATATACTTAATTTATTAAGAAACTAATAATATACTTAATAATATAATATACTTAATAATACTCTTAATAATATACTTAATAAGAATTAAATAAAAGGGATTTAAATTGTATTTTTCGATTTCTCAAACGTTTGCTCTAGTCTGAAAATTTTTACTCAGACAGTATTTTATGTTGTATTTCATTATAGATTGTTTGATTTGTAATTTTCTGTGCATTCAATAGTATTTTTTTCACAGAATTGTACACTTGATGCTCCGTAAAGACAACTCCTTCGATAAATTTCTAGAATTCTTGTCACAAATGAAGTAAAAAAAAAAGGATCACAAATTGATATTTCAGGGGAAAAAAAAGAAAATCAAAACATGACCAAAAATTTATGTTCAGTTGCCGAAAAAACATAGAGGAATTGAAAGACACTTATTTGAGACACTTCAAACTTATTTCGGCAATCTAACTGGTTTGAAAGTTTCAATTCCGTTTATCTTAATAGTGATTCTTACAATTTTCTTATCGTTTTTTCCCGCTTTTAAATGGTAGTTTGCTATTCCAAATTGGCATAGTTTTTTAAACTTAATTCTTAAAGATGATTCTAAAATTATATATGAGGAAGTTGATTACGGACCACTCTGCATCATAGAATCAAGATGTTTCTTGATTCTATGATGCAGAGTTTATTCATTCATTAGAGTTGTATTCTTATTATATATATATATATATATATATATATAATTAATAAGGGCAAGGGTGATATTTTTCTTAAGAAACGTGAAGTATGGTCCCCCCAATAAATTTTATCTGACGACGCCAATGATTTATGAATATAATTGGTTTGTTTTATTTACTTGTCAACCACTATAGATTCAGTTCTAAGATATATATGATAAATTTCTCTCAAGTATTTTTAAAATAGAATTTGGGTTAATGCGCACAAGTGGTTGGCTTTTTAAGTACTCTGCGCAGACTGCTTGCAAGAAACCGTGTGGAGGCTTTCTGATGTAGGAAGTAACGGCTCTATTTAGTGTTATAGTGTTTTCTTCAATGTAACGGCGCTTTCTACATTGTAATGGCGTTTTATAAATGGAGTTAATATAATTGCACTTTCAAATATAATTGCGCATAAAGAAAGAGTTCATTCTCGTAATTCATAATTTAATTACCATAATAACGAAAAATGAACATTTATGGACTTAAAATAACGTTACACAAATCTCAACTTTTTCTGAAGGTGTAACTTTGGTTTAAATTTTACAGCTATTTTAATGCAATAAATCTTCCTCGGATAATTCAGGGCAAAAAATATCATTAAACTTTTCATTGACAAGTATTACCAGGTCTTAATAGTAATTTTATTCTATATAGGTATGTTTTTCTGATATGCGACTTAAGGAGAAGTTTCAGAAGACCTTAAAAGTTATCAAGGAAAACAACAGAGCTCAAAAATTCTGTGGTATTCTCATAAACGCTAAAGAAGTCACTCAAGAATCTAATTGTATCTCTCTTCACCCTCCCGTAGAATTTTCCCTGAACAAAGATGAGTTAGAAGCTCATTCAATTATCTGTGAGCTAAAAGAAGTCATTCATAAAGATAAGCCTGAATATATTCTAATTGATACGATCTTAAAAGCACTTAGAAATAGCTCTAATGAGACACGTCAGCAGCTCATTTCACTTCTTTTTAGTATTGATACGGTTAATTTCCTGAATCCCAAGATCCAGAGTTCAAAAGAATACTTAAAATATTTTATAAGTGATGTTGAATGCTTTTTTAGAAATGCAAATAAGTTAAATCTTATTAGGATTTTAGATACACGAGGAGCTTTAAAATTGGTTGAAGCTAGATTATTTGATCATTATGAGGGAAATATTTTAAATGATGGAACAATCTCTATTCGGCATTCCATCTGTTATCTGCATTCAATAGTGTCCAATCTAATTTTTGAGGAAGGTAAGCATTCTGATGATCATAATAGAGAAATCGAAGCTTTAATGTCTGATGCTGCTTCACTAATTTCAACTAGATTGTTACTACTGAACAGTGCCTCAAAATCTATTATAGAGAAATGTTTATTGGCACGAAGATCTTCGCTTGCTATTGACAGAGATGATTTTGATCTCGAAGAGTTTTATTTGCGACAGTTTAGAGATTGCTACAATTTTTTGGACGTGGTAAATATGAACTTTTTTGTAATATTTCTTTAAAAAGTGACAATGTTCTTGAACATTGATATTTCGTGTACCGTTTTTAGGGGTAAGGATAGTCAAGCTTTACCTTCTGTGAAGCCCCTCGGTACATATTTCGCCTCTCTATACAGCATTTTTGTCTTGATAGTTCGTTCACCAGGAGTTGGGACATGGCTCCGCCTTCATCACGTGGTACGCGACGATGCTATTTCGCTATTTTTGAGAGAAGGATGTGAACAATCTTGAAAGAAGTTGTTATTTTGGCGATCGTATGACAAAAATATTTATTTCGCAATCTTTATGTACATTTTTATAACATTAAATATTTCATAAATCTGATGATATTTCTCCCTTTTGAGTGAATAGTTTGTCCTTTTTAAAACATTTTGCTGGGCACACAGCCGTTTTTAAATTTAAAATACATTTAATTAGATAGAGTAACAAAAGGTCAGATGATAAAGTGAAGTAAGTGACTTAAAAAGAATTCACTGTTAGTGTTTGGCGTGCATTAACGATTATCTCAATTTTAAGCGTGAAGATGTTTTTCCCTCTTACTCCCGCTCTGAAATGAATTCTTCGTCCGAGGAGATGATGGAGCAACAAGTGTCAACTCCTGGTGAACGAACTAGACTTTATCTAACAAAACTAATACTAATATAAAATTAATAATCGGTTTTTCCCCCTAGACAAATCTTAAGACATTTGATTTGCGGGCTTTAGTAAACCAAATAATTCATACAGAATAGGTGGTCTTTAAGCCTGCCAGCGAAAACATAGTGTCACGTAGTTATAATCAGTTATGCAACTTAGTCCCAGACTGTAAAATAATTATTACAGCAATTTTTTCAATTAAGCTAACCATTAGTTGTTAATAAATAAAAGGTTTGGTTGATAAACAATTATCGAAAAAGTACTATTAAATTAATCATTTACCTTGGGGATAATTTACAACAGAGGTTTCCAACTTAAATGCAGCCAGGGGCCACAATTAAAAATGCAAATCAAATCCGGGAAGCCAGTTGGAAACCACTGATTTACAATTTAATTGAGTTTTAGCCAATGAAAATTGTATCTTTAAACATTATTTTATCAAAAGTAAAATATTGAATTTATAGGTCGAGACGAAACAATAACTTTGTATTATGGAAAGTACAATTTCTATTGCATTACCCCCCCTTTTTTTCCCTTCCATTTACAAAGTTAACTCTATTGATATACAGTTATTTTAAAGATGGCAACGACAACTGAAAAGCTTTCTTCAACAGTTTCAGTTCTTCCTTTTAAATAAAAATAAATTAAAGCTGTAAAGCACAGGTATTCCTTTTTATGTTTTTAGTATTAAAGAGCGTATTTTTCTCCACTAGAATCTGTTATCAATTTTTAAACTTCTGTAAAAATAAAGCAAAGCGGAGTTCCATGTTATCGATTATTCAAAACCAAGAAGCGAAAGCTACAGAAAATGAAATTGTTGCGCTGTGATATTGAATGACGAGGAGCGAATTGTATCAGAACTCCCGGTTTTGTGCGAGGATCAGCTTTCTAATATAGAACGCAATGCATAGTTTCTTTATGACCATTTTTTTCTTTGGTATTTTGCGATTTTTGAAGATTTATTTCAAAGTCATTTTGCATTTTACTTCGTCGGGAGTAATTGTCGGGCTTCTTGTAACTTATTTTCAGTGAGACTTTTGCTACTTAGAGATTGTTTCGTTCTGCATTATTTCAATCCCTTTCTCTTTTCTGTATGGATTTAACGATTCTTGTCAATTATTTTTAGTAGACCTACTGTTACTTTTCGATTGCTGCACAATCGCTGTTATCTTAAATTTTCGTTCTAAACTCAATTGATCAATGAAAAGAAAATATAAATTAAAGAAACGATTCTTCGAAGAAAGATTTCATTTTAAGCGATACAATTTTATAGGGGTATTTTGTATTTTACTTTGTTATAAAAAGTTAGTTTTTTTTAAAAATTTATTTAATGTAGGTAAGTATAATTTTTTATTCTTTAACATTACAGTATTTAAATGATTCTTTAAGCTGGTTGTTCGGCTCATTTGAGTGATTTTATATCTTTTACATTAAAAGAACTGTTTTGTGACACGAATCGATTCTTTTCAGTATTATCTTATCCTCTAACATTAATGGGTACTTACAGAGTGATGGGGTTAAGAAGAGGGGTAAGTAACCTAAGTCATTTTTAGAAAAAGAGGACTTTTGAAAGGAAAAAAAATTGTTGAATATTCAATTCACATCTTAATGGATTCAATTATAAATATAANTAGATTTTAGCTAAGGTACCAATGTAAGTTTTTCTGTTGAACAGAAATGTGATACTTCCGTTGAAGAAAACGTTTCTAGCGTAACAGAATCTGATGAATGTGAAAGCGGCCCTCAAAGTGTTACAACCACCCATATGGCGTTGGACTTTTTTCAGAAAATAATACATGCGAGGATAAAAAACTGGATATACTTAAAAATGTTTGGGAACCCAATCCAGCATTTGTTTTTCCAGAAAAAGGAAAAAGAAAATTGAAATTTCAGTACAAATGGCTTTATCGCTGGAAATGGCTTGCATATTCAGAGGTTAAGGGTGGTGCTTTTTGCAAATTTTGTGTACTTTTCGCCCCAAGTGGTGTCGGTTCTGGAAAGCAACCTTTAGGCCAACTGTGCAATGTAGAATTTGACAACTGGCAAAATGCTGTAGAGCGATTTTCTGAACACGAGAAATGTCTTTATCACAAAAAATCGATCGAAACTGCTGGGACATTAAACGATATTTTACTTGGAAAGATGAAACCTGTGGATGAACAAGTTGACAGTGCAGCAAGCAGAAGAAAATTAGAAAATAGAAAAAACATTACTCCAATCACTGAAACCATCCTATTTTGTGGAAATCTTTTATCGAACCCACGACCTCTTGGATATAAGCCCAGCGCCCTACCGACCAGGCTATCCCGGCCCTCAAAATTCAATGATTGTGTTTGTTGCGCATATAAAGTTGTTTCATGCTTTAGTGATCAAATTTCACTTATATAGTTCGTCATAGAAAGAACTCCCCTCGCCACGAAGTCTAAGGCCGTCTGTTTGTATGGATACAAGAAATAGTGCATTTTAAAGAGGGGAGCATCTTTCTTCCTTGATTCTCTTTCTCCTGCCAGCCCGGCTCAAAAACTGTCTTAAATAATGACCCAACTTACCCTTGAAATAGTATTTGAACCTCGTAACCGTAGTCACCGCCACCACTCCAGATGAATGG